GAAACTCTGGTATACATTGGGTCATTACATCACAGGCAGTAGCTCACCACAGGCTACAAACACAGGAGCTAGAAGAAAATGGGTCTTATACGAGGTGAGAAATGTTCATTTTTGGTAATGACAGAAACATGCATCTTTGTCATGGAGGAGGTCACACACCTCTCCAGACCTTCAGGTATGTGCGCAGTCAGACCAGGTAGAAAAGAAAGAAGCATAAAACACAAACTAATATATGTTCACAATGTTCATTTAAATATATGTTATTATACATTGACACTCTGCAACCTTGTTACAGGATTCTTATAACATAAGAATCTAAATTCCTAAGAATGGGTAAGAACTAAATCTTACCTGCTGTCTGAAAATACAAAAGGATAAACAACACTGTCTAAATGTCAAGAGAACGAAGTGGGTGTCTTGAGTAGGCAGCCAAGCTTCTGTGCAAGTTGTGCTATTATGAATGAGTTTACCACCCTACTGAAAGATGCATCCTTATGTAAATAGAACAAAGGGATATGCTTGGTCTTTCTAGTTGTAAATGCTAAGGACCACCTATAAAGAGTATCAGACAATAATTTCAGTTTCCTGGGAGTTTGAGGATTCTGCAAAGTATCTTTGCTGTTCCTAGAACCAGAAGATGTCTGATGTATTTCGAGGGGTTAGCCACTCCTTTAGCCACTCCTCGAGTTTTGAGGTCACTGCCCCCAGTGCCTCAATGACCACGGGCACCATTGATGCCTTGACCTTCCAAATCCCTCCAGCTCATCTTTGAGCCCCTGGTATTTCTCTACATTCTCATGTTCCTTTTTCCTGATGTTGCAGCCACTTGGTATGGCTATGTCTACCACAACGGCTTTTATCTGCTCTCTGTCCACCACCACATATATAAATGATCAGCAATTAGCAGGACACACTCACAGGAGTAGTTCTGCAGGTGAGGACCAAAGACCACCTCTCAGTATCTACGCTTTCTTGCTGATGTTTTGGTCACTTTTAAATGCTCGGGGTGCTTTCTCGCTTGTGGTAGCATGAGAAGGACTCTACAACCTGCACAAGTGGTACAGGTAGAGCAGCTCATCCAGGATGCCACATCTATGTGAGCTGTGACAAGAAAGTTTGATGTATCTGTCAGTGTAGCGTCCAGAGGCTGGAGGCGCTACCAGGAGACAGGCCAGCACACCAGGAGACTTGAAGGAGGCAGTAGGAGGGCAACAAATCTGCAGACTGACCGCTACCTCTGCCTTTGTGCAAAGAGGAACAGGAGCACTGCCAGAGCCCTAAAAAATGACCTCTAGCAGGCTACAAATGTGCTTGTGTCTGCACAAACTGTTAGAAACCAACTCTATGAGGATGGTATGAGGGCCCGACATCCACAAATGGGGATTGTGCTCCCAGCCCAACATGATGCAGGATATTTGCCATTTGCCAGAAAACACCAGGATTGGCAAATTCACCACTGGCAGCCCGTGCTCTTCACAGATGAAAGCAAGCTCACACAGAGCAAATGGGACAAACGCCAAAGAATGTAGAGTCTCTGGAGCAGATGATTCTCCACACAGTAGAGAACAGAAGCTTTTTTCTTCCACATGACGGAAGTCATATGTTCCTACTGTTTCTTGTGTCACCATTGTTCCCTTGGAAATACCTTCACACAGCTATAAAAGCAATACTGAATAGTCGGGCTGCCAAACATAAGGTAACCGATTATAATGGAAACACTAAAACCAGAGTTAAACTACTAGTGGAAAAGGGCCATCAGAGAGTAAAGGAATCTTTAATACAAATGTGTAAAGACCTAGACCTTTTAAACATGAAACATAAACAACAACAACAAAAATGTGTTCTGGTTAAATATAAAAATATAATAGGCATGTATTGAGAAAAGGCATTAAACATTTTTTAGGTTTGAAATCTGACTGCAGCAAAACATTCCTCATTGACTCAGCAAATCAGCATTAAGTCTTTCCCCAGGTCTTTCCTTCCTCTGCATTGTCTCCGTACAGTAAAACCTCTGGGATGGGTAGCGACTTCCTCTCTGTGTAAGACACTGTAAAAATGACAAACAAATGCTGCCAGGGAGATATGTGGCAGGCATTCGCTCAAGCATTTAAAATCTCTTGGTTTCTACACAACAGGCGATCCCTCCCACATCTTCGGCTATCTCTATAGCACGCCATCTGAGCTGTTGGTTATTAGAAAGCACAAACTGCTCACAAGAAAACAGGATTCCATGTTTTGGGTCAGATAATCATCATGGCTCTTTATATTAAATCAGCACAAAAAGGGATCAACCTAAAAAGCCTGGTGAGGATTCCTGATTATCGATATCAAAAGTCTTAAAACAACAAGACCTCAGTCCTTTAACTGTCACTTAAAAAGGAACAGAAGTAAATAAGGATGGAGGGAATAGAAAATGTGAGGAAAAACATTAAAAAGAAGACAAAAGGGGTAAGGAAGAATGAGAGAGTAAGAAGGGGAGGAAACAATGAAACAAAGACAACTTCTAGATAAATGAATTAAGAACAAAGCATTAAAATACGCCGGTTTTTCCAAAGAGTTTAATTCTAATACCTGCCCAGACCTGGAGAATGTTCTAAAAACATTCCAGACATTTCCTGACTGCGTGGAAACCCTGACTGCAGGAATGACGAAAGGGATGTAAACATGCATCCAAGCTTTTGGGGTATCTGTTCCTGCTCTGTCATGCAAACTAAAATTACAAATTACCTACATTTAAACTTTAAACCTACATTAGAGGTTGAAAAAAAATATGTGGGAAATCTTAAAGAACAAAAGCAGTGTAGAAAGGCAGAGAGATTTTGGCAACCCCATGACTGTCATCCCCTCCAGCTGTCAAACACCTAACAGAGACCTCCTGTCAGTTTGCAACACAGATTTACCAACCCCCACTAACACACAATCCACCAGTGTGCATACAGACTGAGGCCAATATCAGAGAGAAATGGCCAAGTCTCGCTAAGGATCTAAATCACTCCACAATGTCCTTTAGAAGTTGTTGATTTTAGGGTAGAAAAAAACCAATATAAATTTAAATCAACACCACTTTGTAGCACCTTGTTGTGATCCCACCTTTAAAAAAAAAGAAACTATATTCCAGTAATAAATGACTGTAACATACAGAAGTATACTGATTTTATAAAATAAGAACAGAAAGATAAAACTTAATTTTGTGTAGCACATCTTGATTTTGTGTAGCTCCATTGCAGTCAGTATTTAGTAGAAAACAGGGATGCATCAAGATGAAAATGTTTACTGTGGTTTATAGGAGGGAAGCAGCCCCACAGAGAACGTGAAAGCCTCTTTGGCATGGAGCAATGGCATCAATTTAATATTGATGCAACAGTGACATCTTGTGGACATTTGCAGCAATGTTAAAAACACAAGAGGTTTAACAATTATAATCTGGGCCAAAAGTTTGGGGGTTTCAATAAGATGTGTTGAACTTGTGAAATCCACTTTTAGGGTGACAGTTCATATCCCCTTTAATAGATCATGTCTTGCGATCAGATGTAGAAAATAGTAGACACAAAGGACTTGATTTAATTTGAGCAAATATATTCTCTAGTGATGGGTTTATGAGGCATCATGAAGCGTTTCCACACATTAGCAAACTATTCATACTGTGTAACTGAATAATGCCCTTTTGACAGACTAAACTGACACCTATATGATGACCTCTAATATCATTTAATTCATTGTTTTCTATAATGTAGTATTTAATATCTTCGTTAAATTGAAAATATTTGTGATTTTTTTCAGATGCAATCCATGATGTGATCATATGATGGGAACACTAAGTGAACATGTGAATAAGGATGGTTGTGGATTAGGATTTATTAGATTTATTATTAAATAATAAATGCAGTAAGAAAAGCAAACTAAGAGTCAATTTTAAAATTCAGATGAGTGTTAACTGATAGGAACAGTATGACAGAATTAGAAAATTAAAACACATATGAGATCAAAATAGTCCAATTAGCTGAAAGTTTCTTTTACCTTGAGGCTGCTCCATATTTCTTGATAATTTGATGATAAACCGCAAAAGATCAGAGATTTTTTGGCAGATGGGTTGCATTGACATATGCACTTATAAACAAAGTTTAGTGCGTCCGTCAGTTCGAAACAGCTCCTGCATAAGTCACGAGACTTTCTTGAAATGATACGCGCAGCGCCACATGCCGATGCATCGGTGTTAATGGACACATCACTAAGATTCTCCAAGGAGGATAAAAGTTGAGGAAAATGTCAAGCAGATTGAAATATATCAACAAGATGTGAGCATTTCACCAAATGGGTGCTGGAAAGGACACTGAAATAATGAAGCAGGTTACATGTTTGGCTCCATTTCCACTCCCTACCTGATATTCAGCAAAATCATTCGTTCCCAGCTGACGTATCTCATCTGACAGATTTATGCTGTTTTAAAAACAAAATTCATACTTAAATCTAGGTATCTGTAAGAAGCTGATGATTCCACGGCTAACAAACACATGGGCTCTTTTTCATTATTAAGAATTTAAGGTATTGCCTCATTTGTAATGTGAAATATTAGGTAACCAGCTGTAACTGACAACTGAGAAGTTTTTAAGAGCCCATCTATTCATAATGGCAGGAAGTGAAACTATATAAATGACACGTGGCAGATCTAATGACACAGGGTGCCACGGATTTCATCTTTAATTTGACAGCAAACAGGGTAGAGGTGACAGGAACGGCTGAGCGAGAAAGAAGCCTTGACGTCTGACACGGAAAACCCAAACTCAAGGCAGGGGCACAAGCAATCTGAGGCTATCAATTATCCAGGATGCTCTTCAAAAGTTAACATGATACACGACCTAAAACATAACAAAAGATTAAAGCCATAAAATATCGCAAAATTAAAAGGGAACCAAAGCATCAGTGTCTGCGCGAAAATACAAAACTTTCCGGTTCGTGTGACTTTTCCATTTCTACAGAGGAAAAAGTTATAAGCTACAAACCTAGTATGAGAATGGAATCTTCTTTCTTGATTATTTTTTCCAGGAGGTGCTGAAATTTGGAAAAACCGCCCAACCAGTCATAGTGCTGCTCTGTCGTGTATCTCTCATCCCAGTAAGCAACGTCTTTGTAACTGGAGTTTTTATCTGGCAGGTGCTCCATATTTTCTGTAACATGACAAAAAAAAACGTGTTAATCTCTCCCTCAGAAGCATGAGCAGGTAGAACAGAAACAATTGAAATATCAGACAGAAGCAGCAGGGGTCCGGTTCATATGAACATTCAGGTTAATAAGGGATCCATTGGTGCAAATTTTATTTTGAATTAGATTCACATTTAACACCATTACAATGAACAGCAGGGGTAGTTCATCCCTGACTCAGACTCAATAACAGCAATAACATGTGTACTATCTAATGTGCAATTACTATTTAATACCCTGTAAAATAACTCTGTATAATAATCCTGTCAATTAAAAGACTTCAGCTAATATTTATATTAGGGGTGCAAATCACACCAATCATGGCGATTCGATCCAGTATAAATTTTCTGAACCAACGATTTGATTATTTTCGATACTCAAGAATCTGCCATGTCTGACTTGCCTACTGCTTAGACGAGTGTGTGTGTGCATGCAGAAAGAGGGTAGTGGCGAAAGGAAGCGAGGTAGGAGGGCAAAATAGGTTTACGGCAGCATGGGAGTCAGAATTACATCCAGGAGCAAATCGATAAAAATAGGCCGGAGGGGAAAAAAAACAAAACTTGAATCGATACTCTTGCGGACATGTTGATGCATCGGATCGTCAGCTGTTGGATCGATGCATCGATACAAAACGGTTATTATTTACACACGATATATATATATATATATATATATATATATATATATATATACACACACACGTGTGGACACACTGTACTGTATATGTCCCATGCACCTATTCCTCCTTTTGGCTACTTCTTCTTCTCCTTTGACTAATGAGCCATTGTAACCAGTAAATTTCTCTGTGAGATCAATAATATCAATCAATCAACTGATGATGAAACTCGAACAGAAGTAAGAAGAGAAGCATACAGTAGAATGTGACTTTGTATGGAGATGTTATGATGTATGTATGTTCTTATCATTGAGATGTTAATGAAAAAGTTATTTCAGAATGTGCTACGGTTACAGCCTTATTTAGAGGCGTAGGTTCGTATCTAAACCCTGACTGATTCTGTTTGCAATGACAAATAAAAAGGTTGTTTTTATTTATAATTAATGAATGGATGCTAATAGTGACAATTCAGTAGTATTTTTCTCACATTTTTTTCTGCATTTTCTCCTTTACTTTGTTTTATTCTAACAGTTTTCTTATTTTACTCTTTTTTTTTTTAGAAGCTACACCTGGTTGGATGCAGCAGGTATTTGCAAGTTTGAGGGAACTTTTAGCTTTATGCTGAGAAGTCACACAGCGCATGCGCGAAAGTCGCAGCACTTCCTGCTTGTCCATAGTAACCGTTTACAGCCTCCAACATTACTTACAGAGAGTTGCCTTTGACTTGGTTATCAATTATTATATATAAACTCCTCGGTTTCTTCAGTTCCTCCTTTAACCTTTAAAATATGAGTGGTTTCGTGGTCGCGATGAATCCACGTGATGTCCAGGGACTCCGTGGGTTAATTCAGAGAAATAATATTTCTGCTGCACAGTAACAAAAAAATAAAGTTGTTTTGATCTAAAAGGTGTCCTTATAAGATCACAGTGAAATCATTTACAGCTCATGTTCCCAAAGTCTATGAAGCGTGGAAGAGGCGGGGCGACTTTCCTTTAACACGTGGGTTCCCCCTGATGAGGCTTTCACAGGCGACTTGGATGGTTGTTAAATCTGCGTCTTTGGGGATGTTTTTGTTTTTGTTTTGCATGGTATTAATTATATTGAAGAGGAATAGGACCACTGGAAAAAAATTAAAAAGTTGACTTATTTTAAATTGTTATTTCTGTATAATATAAAAATTCAAAATTCTGACTTTATTCTCAGAATTCTGACATTTCTTCTCAAAATTCTGACTTTAATCTCAGATTTCTGAGTTTTTTGTTTTTTTTTTCAAAATTCTGACTTTAATCTCAGGATTCTAACTTTTTTCTCAGAATTCTGACTTAATTCTGGGAATTCTAAATTTAATCTCAGAATTCTGCTTTTTTCTCAGAATTCTGACTTTAATCTCAGAATTCTGACTTTAATCTCAGAATTCTGACTAATCTCAGAATTCTGACTTTAATCTCAGAATTATGACTTAAATCTCAGAATTATGACTTTATTCTCAGAATTCTGACTTTTTTCTCATCTCAGAATTCTGACTTTAATCTTAAAATTCTGACTTAAATCTCAGAATTCTGCCTAATCTCAGAATTCTGACTTTATTCTCAGAATTCTGCTTTTTTTTCAGTGGCCCTCAAAACATGTTTTTCTTTTGCTATATTCAGTCACATTAAAGTGTTTTTGAGAATTAATAATTTGATTTAGATAATTAATAATTTGATTTAGATAATTTACTGAGTGGTGGAGGTTGTTTCTTTATAAACCAAGTATGTCCATTCTAGACCAAATTTAGCAGGAAGGGGTACTTTTAATAGGGGCACAGAACAACAGACTGAAGCAAAAAAAAATGAAAATAAAAACTGCATGACAATAGTTTAATGTTAAGCACCAG